AAATTCCTGCTTCATTTGGCGGATAAACTGATCCCCAATATACTTGCTTTTAAATTCTTCTAAAAACAAAGACCAATTCAACTGGTCGGTTGACATCCTCATGGTGACGTTCGTCCACCATATCCTCGCCTGACCCCTTAATAAAGACACAGCTCCATCTAATTTCTCCACTTCGGAACAGTGGAGACCATCTAACATGATTTTCAAATCATTCAACCAAAGATCCGCTGACACCGGACCTTCCTCAGCTTCTCCCTTAAATTCGGGAGCTCCTAAACTTCTCAACTCTTTTGCTACATTAATTCTTGGAGTTAGTGGAGCAGGAGGTTGAAGACGCGTCAGAATAGCGTCTAACGTTCTGAAGAACGTATCTTGATCTTGCACAGGCACTCCTTGAGATGCCTGTTCTTCACCGTGCCTGGCCAGGGCAGGTGAATTACTGCTTTCAGCATGCCTATCTTCTCCCGCTTCACTTCGGGAGCTATTATGTCCGGACATCTAATCAGAATAAACACATTGTTCTATTAGCAAAACAGCATACTCATACTATACCAGATCAGAAGTTTTCGCTATTTGTTGGCATGTATTCCATTTACAGACTCCATAGACTCTGGTTTATGCCTAGAATCGGCTAAACCATAGCTCTGATACCATTAAATGTAACACCCCCAACCCATACCCGACCCGGATATAAGCCAGAGATACTACATTGACTTTAAAACACAACTCTTAATAAATAATAGTAAAATATTTGAACTTGTATTAAGAAAATACAATAATATACATACTGTAATATGAGTTTACAAAAATATTCAGAGCATACACAACTTAACCCTTTAATTACATGCCAACTGCTATTACATAACAAAATGACCTACTGATAAGTTGCTTCTGATCTGATGGTTGCAGGAGTAATACTGTAAAGCTGCTTCACCTGTCTCGTCTAATTTCCTCGGATCCTACGTGTGAAACACTCACACGCTAAGTCATCGACTTAGTGAGGCAATAATAATAAGGCAATGTAATGTAATCAAAATGTCAGGATCATATGATATGAGATGCAAACATGTACTTAATCAATATAGTATACTTCATCAATATCCATACCTGTAAGCGTATGACTGTAACATTCATTATTCTGTATTAATAAATTTATTGGCCCATGATAGCATATTGAGAACCTAAGGTATTTGAGTAATGTGAGGTTGTGCACTATGCTGTCACCACAGCTCGTATAAATGCACCGAAGTGCCCGTAGAATTGCACCGAAGTGCCCGTAGAATTGCACCGAAGTGCCCGTAGAATTTTGTCCATAAGGACCACGTAGAATTCCTTAAGAATCATATACATATACTATGGATCAAGTATGTGTCTTTCAAGACTTCACACAGGTTCCAAAGGATATATATGTGTCCTAAAGAACCGAGTATACCCTCTACCCTTGGCATGCCAACTATACCTATAGTTCTCATCTACATAACATGGGCTTATACATTTCCCGTAGTTCATATCGCGTAGACATAGTATTTCCATACCTTTAACACATAGGCATATCATTTACATACCTTTATCACATAGTGCATATAACTTTTCTGCATATTCATGTCATGTAATACATATAATATAATTCATGTCATGTAATACATTTAATACAATTTCATGTCATGTATCATAATATGGAATGTAATCATATGTCAAAATATGGAATCTAGACTTATCACAAGTCCAGAACTGAATATACTACTATATTCATGCTATGCATATGCACTCACCTATACTTCTTTGTCTTTTCCTCGATCGATTCTACTTGTAGATTGTTCCCGAACTCGAGTAGGCTCGGTATCTACATAAACATAATTTTTAAGATGATCATCAGATGTCTATGTCTTGAAATTAAGCTTTAATAGCTTACTAATTTAAAGAATCTATAGTTTAGTCATGTTTTCTTTTCTTTCTTCTTCTTTTTCTCATGGGGGAATCGGTTCCCCCCCCTGGGGTATCGGTTCCCCTATAGCCTTCTGGAATTTCTTATACGATGAGGGGGTATCGGTTCCCCCCCTGGGGGTACCGATTCCCCTCTAGCATTCTGGAAATCATATTCGTTGAAGGGGTATCGGTTCCCCTTGAATGGGTACCGATTCCCCTAACCCAGAAATCCTATTTTGAGCCCGGAAATCATCTAATTTCAGCTCAAACATACTTATTTCAATCCCTTTAACACTCTTAGCTCTCATACACTTACTTAAACTAATTATTAACCATTCAATACCTCTAAAACTAAGAAAACTCCTCATCCATATAGAATTGAAGAATCTTACTCCAATTTCAACTTGTTCTAATTTCCATTCTATTACTTCATACTTCTTAATTAGCTTACTGACAAGTCAAAAATCTGATTCAAACATCAAAAACTCATTCCTATCAAGATTTCATCTAAAAACTCATTTTCCAAATCATTCTCTAAATCACTTATCTTGTTGTTTTAATGTCATATAAGGTTTCCTTTATCTTATATAACATACCAACTTTCATTTCCAATCTTAACAATCCAAGAAACTACCAAGTTCAGTTTCTTACCTTAATTGCAAGCCCCACGTTGAGAGAAGGAAGAGAAGAAAATAAGGAAGAAGGAAGAAGAAATGGGAGAGTTCTGGAACCTATGCCACACGTGGGTCTCATATATCCCATAACATTTTATTTTAATAAAAAATTTCCTTCCAAATGACCATTTGGTCCCTACCTTCATTTCATATTTACTAACCTTTATTTTTAAACTATATAATCATCCTACTTTAATCCCCAAATGTTGAAACTTTGCAAATCAATCACTCACCCGACATGGAGGATGTTACATAATCTGGAAGCAGTTTTTCAAATGTTACTATATAATTTGTAATAAATTAATTGTAGAATATGCTATGGGAGGCAAGTTGTCAACAAAAGGTGACGTGTATAGCTATGGCATTCTATTGCTAGAGATGTTTACGGGAAAAAGACCGACTAATGATATGTTCAAAGAAGGTTTCAACATTCACAACTTTGTTGTGGCAGCTTTGCCTGATAGAGTGACTGAACTTATCGATCCCATTCTTCTTCAAGAGAAATCTAGACAAGGAACACTTACAAATATCACTCTCAATGACAAACATCTTCAACACTTGAATTCAGTATTTGAAATATGACTCATTTGTTCTGCTGAATCACCTACTGAGCGGAGCAACATGAGTGATGTTGTTTCAAAACTTTGTTCTATTAGAGACAAGCTTCTTCGTCCAACACGCTTGCGTCGTGAGCACAAAACTTTATATGCTGCTCAATCTGCAGGTATACTATAAGGCCTTCTTATGCTGTAGTAAACATATTGTTCTTAACAAAATGATCAGTCACTACATGACTTAAAGGCACATAAAATCAGGGGACGATTGCATGATTTTATTTCAAGGGTGTAAACTTTTAGAAAGTTATATTATAAATTTAGGGGTGTAAAATTAGATATCAATAGAAAATACAAAGAAAGTAAAGTAACTGAACTATATGAAAATTTCGTATGTTGCAGGTACCTAAGGTTCCATAATATTAATGGACTCGAGAGGCTTTTGTCAGACAAAGTGCAGTATTCTGGTTTATTCACATTGCATCTGGTGGTATTTGAAGAACTACGGTTTTCTCATATAAAACTCTGCTTTGAGAACATATACATATATATATATGTATGTATGTATGTATATGTATATATATATAAATATATGTATGTATGTGTATGTAATCTTTATAAAACATAAACCACATCCGTTTGTGAATCAATAAATTATAATATTGTTTTGGTAATTAAAACTAGTATGTTGATTTGCAGCTTCTCTTTGTTGTTAGTATTAATGTTCTTAAAGAGTAAAATGATAAAGAAAACAAAACACAACCAAACAAATACAAAGTGGTAGAAAAAGATAGCAGAGAACAGCCCACAAACAAAGCAAATCTATTCTAACTAGGTCATCATTTTGACAAACAAATGTCACAGGTCCTTTAAGAGCTCTTCAATGACATCTTCCATTGTCATTCAAATGATTTAACCGTTTCATCTCGATAAACTAACTTATAGTTCATACATAATAATATATATATAATGAGTCTCAAACCTGACATCTTAAGGATTTAAGGTCTTTGAATTTACCAGTTTTACCAAGGCTTCATTGGTGGTGGTGTTCAAATATTAGGTTATCCAACTAACAATGATAAAATTATTGTATTGTGTGATATGAGAGTTGGTTTGTGTTAATGCAAATTGCATATTCGGTTATTCCTTTTAATATTTAACCAAGTCTCTAATAGCATTCCGTAATCCACACTGTTTGTAGAGGATATGATATTTGCATGCGTTTTCCACTTCATAGTTTTTGTCTCCTCTCCTTTCTATCTCTTGATAGTTTAAGAAAATGGATCATAACTGATAAAAGGGTTAGATTTTGAGCAAGAATCGTGCGGCGATTGATGACATTGGTAGTAAACGACGACGACGGTGATAATAATAAAAAAGACAGGGTTAAAGAAGAAGAGAGAATTTTTTTATTTTTTCTGTTAATGTGTCATGTCAGTAATCTAACGGATATTAACGTACAACTGATCAAAATGTTATAGTCCAAAAATATAAGTGATCAAAATCAAACTTTTACAAAAATAGTTACCATAACAGAATATATCGAAACAAATGGATCATTTGAGTATTTTACTCAAATTAATACTCATAACGGTATACGAAGTTAAAGCGCCAACTGCTAAAATTTTGGCTGCGGTGAAAAAAGTCCCTGATCTTTCGGGTTTCATCCGAATTCGACCAGACATCGACACTTGTCATTTTACAGTTGGCGCGCCAGATATCAGATAACTTTGCTTGACCAATCATCTACTCTCAAACCGTCAAGTTTAATTCAGATTGACCGTAGTAGATCCCCACACTGTCACTGCTTCGTTCTCTTCTCCACTTCCTTCGCTCCTCAGCCACAAACCACAACTCAGTTGCCAATAAATAAATAAAGAAGAAGATAAAACAGAGAAAAAATCGGAGGATGGCTTTACTAACGTCACCGACATCGTCGATGTCGGTGACGGCGCTGCGGGAGAACAGAGGGGCAGTGAAGACGACGACGTATAGGAGAAAGAAGCAACCACCACGACGCGTACAGGCTGTTTTTGGTAACTTCAATCATTTCGGTGATGTTGTACGTAGAGACATGGAGTTCTTGAAGAAAGGAGTTAAAAGAGGAGTGGATTGGGCCAGCGAAACCTTTCGGATCTCTCAAGCGAAGAAAGCTGTTGACGACGTCGTTTGGCTTCGGAATCTCGAGGATCCTAACTTCTCTCCCCCTCCGCAACCGCCTTTGTGGCCTCAACCTTACTATCCAGGTTCATTTTGAAGCCTTTTCTTTCTGTTTCTTTTGTTTTTGGCCTAATTCGTAATTAATTGTTGATTATTGTTAGTTAAGGAGAAAGGAAAATGAGGTGAGAGGTGAGAAGTGAGAAATGATTGAAGAGAAACCATACATGGATGAAATTTAGTTGAAGTTTTTAGTTCTAATTTATCCTGATTTTAGTTATTGACAGTCGAATATGATTGTTTTGATAGAACTGTCTGGTTTGGATTTGATGATGGCTGATCTCAAAGCATTGGAGGTTTATGCGAGTTATTTCTACTACCAGGCAAAGAAATGGTCAAAGCCACTTCCAGAAGTTTATGATGCGGAAGAAGTAGCTGATTATTTCAGTCTCCGCCCCCATGTAGTGGCTTTTCGACTCCTTGAGGTAGTTAGAAATGATTGATCAATCAAGTTATGACTAATATTTGGTTTCTACTTCTTCTATCTATCCTTTAAAAAAGATTATAGGATGAGACATTGATTCAAATATATATGTATACATATTATTCTTGACTAAATTTAAATCAGGCATACTATTTCGACATCTATTATATTTTCTGTTCGCTTTTCCTAGTATTATCTCCATGAACATTTGGTTACACCAAGTCTATTGGGGCTTATGTTTTTTTTTGTTCTGCAAGGTTCTCTCATCCTTTGCCTCTGCTGCAATTAGAATTCGCATGACAGGGGTCAAAAAGTTCTCAATATCAAGTCCAGCTAAGGATATTGATGAGAACTCTTCACAGTACAACTTTGGGATGGTGTTGAAAGAAACATTGCTAGTCCTTGGCCCCACTTTTATCAAAGGTCAGAAATGTGGTCTAGTTGAAGTTTGAGCACTTAATGTCGTTGACCGATACATTAAATATATAAAAAATGCCGGAATGGCACCAATCACTGCTTCAGCCGCATTTAGTAAGTTCAGTGACATCATTTCAATGAAATTTGTAGTGGAATCTGGCCTTGTTCCTGAAGTTGTATAATTTAGGAATAAGAATATGAGGGAAGCAAATTACAGTCTATATACCAAACTTACCCTGGCTTACAACAAAATCTAAAGACCAAATACTTAAAACCTCACCCATGTCGGATAATTCGATGTATCCTCTATCTCTAGGACAAATGATGAAGCTTCTAATTTTCTGGGGTGCTTCCCCGGCGTATATTGCATAAGATGTGTGTGGTTAAGATGATAAACGATTTTGTTTGATTGTGAACAGAACAATGGCATTGTGATGAGAAAAGATCAGTTTCTAACCTCTATGTGACCTTGCAGGGAAAGAGGGGCTAGAGCACTGGAAGAGAGATTGGCAGCTGAGAGATTAGCTGCCGGACGTAGTTGAGAAGAGCCGCACATAGACGGACACGATCACGTTTGATTGCTCCGAAGAGTCTCATCCATTAACTACAAAGGTTATGCACAAGTCTGCCTTAATCACTCAATAGGCACAACACTTTAAAAACTCTTACAAATTAGTTTATACCTCGAAATATTATTTTGTATTTACACACTTGATGATAGCTTTCAGTGCCCTAATCAATCCAATGTATTTGCTCAGTTAATATGAGACTTTGTTTCATGAAAATTCAATTTAATTAAATTTCGGAACGAAATGACTTTTGACATCGGAAATTTAGGGGTATTGTTACAATCTACAACTGGACAATTATTGCCTCGTGACCCTTTAATCTGAGTTGATCTTTATCAACTCGATCATTCTTTCGCGAACGAGAAATCAGACGGAATGATGTCAATCTCATGTTGTGTTCGAATCATTCGAGGTGCCGTAGCAGGGAACTGTGAAGAAGAGTTAGATTCTTGAACTACCCTATCTACTTCCCTCATTTCTACCAGTGATTTATCATGAGCAAGGTCATTGATTTCATGGTGGTGTCCTGGAGAACGAAACGATTCGGGATCCCATTGATCATTCAAATGCCCCGGAGACATACGATAGCTTTCAGTGCTTCGGGGATAGTTATGCAGAAAATGAACCGGTGACATCCTGTGAGTTGGAGTTGCAGGCCTGCTCGAAAACGGTGTTGTATTTTCGGAATGCAGCTGCCTGCTTTGTTTGGTGTGTTTCTTTGCTGTATGGTGCCAGTTTTTGAGTGCAGCTGCAATTCTATCATTAAAAATGGTTGGTCTCATATTAGTCCCCATCTGTAAACAAAACGAAACATACAAGTTTAGTATCATTTCCATTGTTATAAACTGAATTTCGAGTTCGATTTTGATTATTTTAGATCAAACAATGCTTTTACATCATGTTTATAACTTTTTTGGGTTTATTGAAGGTTCGATTCTGTTCTTACCTGAGTCACCAAAGCATAGAGTGGAAGAGTCACGTAACTGCAAAGAAACTGTATAATGACCCTGAAAAGTTGCACATTCTGCAATTTATCAGCCAAGTTTTCACATTGCCAAAGCAATAACATTGGCCTAAAAAGTTCCATGTACTCACCCCATTGAGACTCTAATGATGACATCCTCCACATGTTCGTGGTAGCAAGATTTTATGGTGAATTCGTACTGAAAAAAACGATGAAAATAAGCAGTTATTAGATACGGTAATCAATCAGTTGAACAGGCTACGGGAAGGAAAAGAAGTGCAAGGATTGCTTACCGTGCTCCACACGAAAAAGGCCAGCTGAAATGCATTCTGCAAGTGAAATGGATGATCAATGTATAGGCATTAGCACAATTATTATGACGGTCGGCTTAACGTTGGTAGATTAAAGGAGAATTACCGTAAAAAGAACGACGTGAATGAGAAAAAGAAGGAAGTGCGGGCGTCCGAACCAGAAGAGGTCATCACCCGGTTGAACCACGGGTGCACCCTTGACTACATCCCCTCTGTCTTGAATCCTCAGCCCCATTTTAGTGATGATCACTTGCAGCTTGGCTCCAACCATCAAAGTTATCTGCAAAGCCCCAATTTCGGATTCAATTTCTTGCTCATTATCCCGAACCAAAAAGAAAAAAAACATGTACATGGTATTGTACTTACGATCAAGGGCATGAACGGCAGCCATAAATAAGAGTACCATCCTGTTGATGAAGAGAAAATTGCAGCAAAAGAATGAGTGAGTTCATATCAGACACATATTCAACATCGATATGCAGATATGAACCTCCAAATATTTGGTAAAACTTGGAAAACAAGTTAACATATCCAATAGTTTATGAACATGATGGAATCCATACCATGTGTGTAGGCAAGCAAGAACAAAACAGCAATGAACCAGATGATTGGACTGCAGAAGCATAAATCATTAAGTTAGAATTTGTAAACATTTAAACTAACGTAACTGAAGGACTTGAGAAACCAACCTGATCCCTACAACAACTTTAAAATCATCCTCTAACGATCGCTTGATGTATTTCTGGAAATCGAATTTCGTTTCGTTTCCGGGTGCCAAATGTGCCTGCAGAGAGCATGGTAGATTGCAGTTTCAGCTATCAACAGGAAACAGCAAAGAAATTGGCCTAAAATCTCCATAGAATCACATGGCCAATAAGCTTACCATGATAAATCCATGCCTCAGTGTCAAGTAATCAACCTTTGTGACTGAACCAAAGAATTGCCTAAAGAAACAGACCTGCAATCAACAAAGAATTATATCTGAATTCAGCACCATAGTTCGATTTTTCATTTTTCTTGAATTACTCGAGTCTCCGACATGTCCAGTTGCACTTACAATCCAAAGGGTTACGGTAGAACGGCTCCAAAAGTTCAAATGTCTACGCCCAAATGATGTGTCCCTTGCAAATCTGAACCTCTCCGGGTCTGCAACGGAACAGTTCGACTTTGTTCAACTAAATGAATAAACGTGCATATGTTCGACGCACGTATTAGAGAAATTTACTCAAAAACCACATGCATACCATTGTAGAATTGATATTCAATTGTCTTTGTCTCATTTTCCCAGGCCTTCCATTTCCTCATCTGCAATTCATTTCATTGTTAAAGCAAGGGGAAGAAAAGAAAACCTCAGTGAATGAAATTTTCTGTTCATTTTTCCTTACCTTAGTTCTTCCCAAAGCATAGATTATGATACAGTAAAGAATGTGACAAACTGCCAACACAAAGATGAATATGTGGAGCTGATGGATACCATAAGCTGAAACTAATGCAGTTTTTCCCTGTTCCGAACATTTATCGGATTTCGACGCGAGACTGCGTCGAGGAACGTAGTAACGATCGTCATCATCGTCATCGAATCCAACAAGTTTCCTACCCGAACTTTTTTCAGAATATTTTCGAGCCTCGGCGTACTTATCACACGGATGCCAAGTGTCTGCAACATGCTTTGGTATGCAAATCTCAGATATGGGGCCTTGAAATACTGTTAACAGCAAGGATATGAATCCCATGAGCATAAGCTCTACAAAGGAACGAAGAATCTGTTAATTTTTTCCGCTTCCAAATTCCTAACATCTTTCGAAACCGATAATAAATCAAGATTAAAGAAGTATAAGTGAAGTTCAATCACCTGCTTTAACCTTCTCAAGTGCTTCATAAAGAGATGTATTGTGTCTTTTCTTAATCCACTGCGTAAAAGGTCGAAACAACGTTACAAGTGTCAGATACTAGTATATGTTCGATCATGAATATTTCAAGAAAAATGAAAAATCGGAATACAGTAAGAAACATGCATTACCTTGCCTACAATGTGAATGCCATGTTCAATGAAGATTGAAATGATAACCAAAACAAAACACACCACAGCAACAGCCCACGTAGGCGTCTCTTCCAATGAACGTGCTTTATTAGCATCCGCCATTACCAACGACGGAAAAGAGAACAACTTTCTTCTTCGTTTGTTAATTTTCTTAAGAATTTGAACCAGAAAACAAAGTGATTTAAGTAATAAAGAATGCAGGAAAGGTGATGTTTATATAATAGTTTTTTTGAGTTGCAGATAACCATTATTGCATATACAAGGTGAGAAGACGACGACTTTTTCAGAGAGAAAGTGAATCGTTGACCCAAATCCCCCACCGTTTTTGTAAAGGCCAAATCTTGTAGACCAATAACTAAAATCAACTCAAATCATAAACTCACGTATGATTTACGTCAATAGATCCACTATATTAATCTTCGTCAATTATGTCAATACCACTTTGTTTATACCATTTTACGTTTACTTTTTGTATAAATAGATAGATCATATCGTTTTGTGCTTCTAAGACTCTCTTTAGGGAGAAATTATTTTATGGATTCGACTCATCATGTTATCTGTAATTTTAGCTAGTAAAATCCATTCGTTTCAAAATAATTTTTAAATAATTATTTATTCATTATTTATATGTATGAAAGAAATGAATATTCACCTTAAAAAATGAGATGAATGGAATTTATTGATTGTAACCATGGATGACATGATAAATCATGTCCATCTAATATTTTTCCTCATTAGAGTCGAGAAACAAAACTCGTATTAAAACAACGTCGCAAAACAATTCAAGAACACAATATCTATTGGTTGATAAAAATTTCACCCAAGAATGGAGAGATCTTCCAACCATAAAAGATGCCAGTAAAAGAAAATTTATCAAAATAATCAAAGTCCAAAATGTAAATAAATATATATATTTTTTGAAGATATAAATAAATAAATAATTATTAGAGCTTAGCAGGGTATTTTTGAAATTTTAAGTCAAAGCTATTACCGCGTATGGTGTAGCAAAAATGACACCTCCCATTGTTTTTGTTGTTAATAAAATGCCTTTTCTGCTAAGGTCTAACCTTTTTGGGTTTGACCACCACCTCTGCTTTTTCATTTTGGCAGAAAATTTTGGGAGAAAAAAAAAAGTTATTATTATGTCTAAAATTTTTAACTAATTAACAATATACACATATAAATATAATTATTCGAATCTATAACTTTTATAAATAATAAAATTCTATTTTATAATTGAATTCACTTTATGGATTCTTGGTGCCCTAAAATTTAAAAGTGTGGAAGTCGATGTATGGAATAATCTTCGTAACCTATAGTTTTCAAAAACGAATCATAAGAATGTTGAAAAATGAGTTCCCCCACCATGTCTTCACATGATTGGCATTGACGGTTGAGTTGAGTCTTCTATCATGGGCGACTTCGGCTTACAAAATTGAAATTTTAACTAACCGTTTGTTAACCAGAAAAAAATCAATAAGCCTCACATTTAAACTTAATTCTAATTAATTTGGGCTAAGTACAATGCATTATCTGTTCAAAGATAATTCTCAATCTCTTGACATTAAAGAAAAATAATGAAGAAAAAGTTTTTGTTTGATTTTATGTCGAAACATTTAATAGGCAAGATATAGAGATAGATATGGGTCGTGTTAGGTTGAGATTTTGGTTAATCTAATCTGACTCAATAAAATTACACTATTTATCCGAAATTTGACTTAAGTCAAGTTTAGAGTGGTTTCATTCGTCCGAAATTCGATCCGTCATTTGAGATAAAATTCGTACCCTATCCGATCCGAAACAAATGTATATAAAAAATTCTTAATATTATTTGATAAAATAGGGATCCAATTGACAAAAATAATATGAAGAGATATATTATTGTAATTATCCCTAAATATATAAAGTATAATTACATTATTTTTTGGGTCGGGTCATGTATTTTTCACTCTAAACCCGAGTTCAACTCGACTTGAACTCATAATCTAAACAATTTGACCTGAAACCATATTTTTTTCAAAAATTCGATCTTATTAGGTCAAGTCAAAACTCATCGAGTTCGAATCTCGTATTCGTCTCTAATAGGATAGCCTCGATAGGTAACATAGACAAGATATGCAAGGAGGGAGAGATCTAAATTTTTTGGCATAATGGACTATTTATCCCCTTAACACTTGATTCTAATTTCATCTTTGGTAGGTCGAATGGACTAATTATGGATGCAAACCCATGACAAAAACAACACATTAATATTGGATAATAGTCAATGCCCTATCTTGCACTCCAATTCCCTGCCTGCAAAAATAATAGAGTACGTAAGTTAGGAGTGGTAGGGGCTCCTGTCCTCTTAAAAATTTTAGTATAATGATATTTTATGTCTATGTTAATTTAAACTTAAATTAAATTAGATTTTAATTTTATTTAATTTTAAGATATAATATTTAATAATTTCTTATTATTTTAAACTTATACAAATAAATTCTCTCAATATTCCTTTATTTTTAATAATTTAAATTATCCAAAGCAGCAAAAGTGGACCAAATACAGAGAAGAACCTCGGAGTCTTTGATTTATTCGCTTCCTCTCCGATTGAATGAAAAACCACACACAAATGCCGACTTTTTTAGTTAATTTAGTTCGGTTGTCGTTATCTTATCATTTATTATTTTATTACTTGTTATTACTCAAACTTTTACTCAAATAATGTATAAAATCGATTATATATATATATATATATGTGAAAAAAATGATGAATAAATATTATATTTTAATAATTTCAGAGTATAAAAATATATCAATTTTTACAAAAACATAAATTGATTAATAAATATTGAAAATATAATTAAATATGTGTTCAATCGATTAATTTGGTCAATGATTATCCCGAATGAGTTAAAATTGAAATAATCAATTTTTAATTTAACAGTTGACCAAATCAATCTTTTTAAAATATTATTAATTGAACCAAATAAAGTTTGATTAATTATGTCGATTTTTAAATTAATTGAAAATTGTTATAAGTTTTTATAGTTAGATTAATTTGGGTCTAATAGAGATATTTTTATTTGGGTTAATTCAATTAAAATAAACCAATAAACCTATTTTACAAATAAATTTGAACATTGCTTAAATAATGTGGGACTTGAACCAAAATAAAATTTTGATTGAAAACTCATTTCCAAACAACGAAAGGGCAATTCATAGTTATTGGGCCTCTAAATTATCCATAAATAAACAAGGATAAAATATTGTTCAACTAACCCCTAACAACCAAAAAGAACATAAAGATTGGTAAATTACTTAAATGGTCACTTAATTATTACGATGCTGTCAATTTAATCATCCAGAAAATCTTGCAACTAAATCTGTAACATCCTGAACCTGATCTGAATTATTTGAGAGGTCTGAAATGACGCATGCGGCCATCATAGTGACCATTGATTTTAAAGTGTATAATAATTTTCACTTTTAAAACAATCGAAAAACGTGTTGGTTTAAAATCGAATTTCATATCTCAACAATCAAATAAAATGGTCCTCTTGTCTCAAGCTCCATGCCGAATAAACGACAATTCCCATAATCACGTCATTGTCATTTGCATCTACTCAACATTAATCATCAATTTTATTTCACAAAATTAGTTAAATTTGTCGATTATTATAAAATAGTCATTGTAATATTAAAATAAGTGTAAAAATATAGATTTAATAATCGTTTTATAACATTCAATAAAATTTAATGGTCATTTTATAATTTTTAAAAGTTTAATGATCAAATGATCATTTGAACAAGTTTATTGACTTTTAATATACTTTACCCATTTTATATGTGAAAAAAACAAGATGGACTATTATAGGGTAAAGGACATTAAATGGTCATTGAACCATACTAAAATAAATTTTTGATCACTTAAATTTCAAAAATTATAAAGTAATTATTAAATTTATCAAACTATTACAAAATGGTCATTGCACGTTACAGAATAATGATAAATTTCTTAATAAGTTTAAGAATCATTTTATAACAGTTGATATTTTAATGACCACTTTGTAGTGATTTGATATAGTGTAATGATAATTCTATAACTGTTTAAAAAGTTTAATGATCATATTATAACTTTTTAAAACTTTAATAGTAAAAAATCATATAAACATAACTAAGTGGCAATTTATTTACTTCACCCAATATTATAATGTAAGAGAATGGAATATTATAAAAAGAATCAGCATTTTGCTGCCGACGGTGCGGAAATGGCGCCTTCGATCCGCCACGTCAGCCTGGATTTATTCTCACGCGTTGCTTTGGCGTGTGCAAGAAGTTACTTGGATAGCGAGAGGACGGCAAGTGGGAGATTGTTTACACGTGTTTGCCTATGACGTTTCCCCAAAAAAAAAATTTGCATGTGCGACGGCACGTGCCGTGTACTGACGTCGGGCCACCTTTTGTCGTTACGTGGCTTTGACTTGTTCGTATATTTTGCGGGGAATTACATTTACGACCTTGTTTTATATATTTATTTTAAATTAGTATAACTAATAAAAAATTAGATGCAAATTACTTTCATTTTAAAAAATAATATATTTGAGGGTAAAATTATCACGACAGTCTCTGTATTATATCTCGAATTGTAATTTAGCTTTTCTATTGGAAAAATGAGCAAATTAATATATGTATATTTCAAACAAAAGCAAAATAGTCTCTTTCTTGGAGTTTACGTATATTTTATTATTGATAATTGTTGATGTGACTTTTATATGTACTTCTTCTTAATCTTCTCCATAAGGTTAATTTCTGTAGTGAAGGTTTTGGAAGAGCAGTTCCAGAGGTGGGATATTATACGCCTAACACTCATCGGGAGATAGCTACGTATAGTAAATTCATGTGATCTATTAAAATTAATTATATTTATTAAAAAGATTAATTTACAAATAATTATTTATTATGACTTTATGTTTAATGCTAACACTAAGAGTCTTTGTAAAACTATTCGATTGAGATTGAGAGAAAAAATCAAAAAGTACTCCTTTATTTATCCCTCTTTCACCTTTTTATGGAAACCAAAGCCAAACAACTGTAGTTATTCCTTCAAATTAGAAAAAAATGAACCGTCTGTAGTTAGTATAATTCATTTATTTCCATCAAACATATATATAGTATAAGTGATATGGAAATAACTTATAATCAGGATAAATAATTTTTTATTATTTTTAAGGGTAATTACATGAGTGGTTATCTTACGGGACTACAAAATAATTTATCCATATACTTTATTAGCAAAAAGAAAGAAAAAAAGTTTAATGCAAAAATAAGTGTTTAAACTATACTCTAAGTTAACTTTAGGTGTCTAAAGGATTTTTCGTAAGAGAATATGTGTCTAATATTTTATCTGCTACACCTTTAGGTGCCCAACGTTTTCTCCATTACACTTTTAAGTGCTTACACAATAACGATAGTTAAAAGAGCTGTTAAGTGACACGTGTCAAGTTTATATTTAATGTGTCAAGTTTATATTTAATCTTAATACACAAATAAGTGACCAAATTATATCATAAGTTAACTTTAAGTGCCTAACGATTTTTTTTGTTAAAAATAGGTGATTAATGTTTACTCTGTTTCACTTCTAAGTACCTATGCAATAACGACACTTAAAAAAAAACTATTAAGTGATATATATCATGTTTATATGTTTAAAAAATATTTTTTAGAAAAAAACATGATAATATTAATAATTTAAAGCACTATAACCCTAAAATATATCATTTCAATCCCTTTACCGACAATCATCGACCATTATCAACCGCTTTCACCATCGTTGAACGATCACTCAACTGTCGTCGGACTTCCATTGCCGTCCATCCCTCTTGTCGTTGTCTCAATCCTCCTAAATCCATAAATTCAAACTTAAATCCATTAATCTGAAATTTATCGTTCTCAACTAAGTTAATTTTAAGGATTTACGAGGATAATAAAGGGGTTTTGAATGAACTGAGGAGGAAGAAATTTTTTTGCGCAAGCCATGGTGGGGGAGGAATTTTTTTCTTAATTTTTCAAAATAATATTTATTTTTAATAAATGAAAATTTGAAAATACATATATAAATGTAACACGTGTGAGATAATGACGAATCTAACGATCGTTACTATATAAGCACCTAAAAGTGTAATGTCGAAAATGTTAGACACTTAAAGTTAACTTAGAGTATAATTTGAATACTTACTTTTACATTAACCAAAAATATAAATGTGACACGTATCGTTTAACGGTTTTTTAACATGCGTTATTGTGCAAACACTTAAAAGTTTAACAAAGAAAACGTTAGACACCTAAATGTGTAACGGAGAAAACGTTAGACATATATTTTTGATGATTTGTTTACATTTAAAATTAACTTAGAGTATAATTTAGACACTTACTTTTATATTAAACAAAAAAAAACACAACAAATACTAAAAAAAACCTTGAGAATTTGAATATAACCAAAACTCTTTAGCGGGTTCTCTCTCTAAATCGTAACACCAACAAGAGAAAATGTTAATAAACTAATCAAATAAACTTTTGAAAATTTTTGAAAACTTTATAATATATTTTAAAAAAAACTATAATTCTCATTAATTTAAAAAAAAATTAATAAATTAATTCATATTGAGACGGTTAATGTTATCCATTTGATTTGAGAAAATAATGACTTTGCGTCAATTAGAGATCATTTATTTAATTTAAATTAATCGATTAAATTTTATGCTGAATTTGAATTAGTTAAATGGACGACCTACTTATAATTATTTATGATCATAAATTTGAATCTCAACATTATGAATAAAATAAATTAAGTTGAATTAATAATCCTTATATAAATCATGCTTCCGTGGACCATTCACAATTTATTTTCTCCGTCATTTTATTAGATTTTATATTATATATATATATATTTAAAAAATTTAATTTTCATTTTGAATAAATATAAAATTTATCAGAGGTTTAATTATAAACTTTTATACATATCCTCGTTAAATAATCTCGTTAAATGATAAAAGATAAAATTCATACACACTTTTTGTTGTTGTCGCTTAATTTATGTTCGTATTCATATTTATACAACCACATGTTATTGACATACAACACCCGTATTTTTAGATAAAATTTTCATTTAATTTTACTTGTAGACGCGACTTTTTTCTTCATTTTGATCGTTTAATACATTCTTTTAGTATCATATTTTGTCATACGCACCTTTAAAAGACAACTGATATGATATATTTTAAATAACATAATTAATATAATATCTTTATCTCATATGACATTAAGAACTTACTATTTTAATAAATAAACAACTAATATTATTTTGATGTTTAATTTTTTTACCATGCTATATAGGTAAAAAGTATTGATTTGAAAATTACTCTTCTTATATATATTTTTAAATATAGATACTATACAATTATATAAAATAATATTATAGAACATGAAATGGGTACATGAATACTACACAAAATTTTGAGATTTATAAATATATATATATATATATATATATATATATATATATATATTAGCTATAATATGATATAATACCATAATACCACATTATTAAAAATTATAAAATTAATATATATAATTAAGGATCAAATTGAAAACAATCAAATTTAAGGAGTAAAAATGTAACGTGTCCCATAATTATATGATATCAATAAACCACATGTAATTTTTGCCGTGAAATCTAACAAGGGCAAATCAGTCAATAGAATAAAAAAGTGACTGAGTCGTAATTTTCAATCAAATTCAAGGGTAATTTAGGAGCAATAAATCAGGGGTAGGTCCATTTAAATATAATATTTTTAATTTATCGGACGTGAAAATTGATTCAATTCTGGTTTAATAGCAGCGTTGAGGTACGGACACCATGCTTATCTCTCTCTTCCTCCTTTTCTCTCTCTAGGGCTTTCTTTATCTCATATCGGCTTTTACCTTCATGTTCTCACACTTTGTCGCCTTAGATTTTCTTTCCAAACAAGCCTCGTCCGAAAAGCGACGAGAAAATCTTAGAAAATTTCACTCTTCGGTTCTCCCGGATTGAAGAAAACCTTTCGGAGGCTGGAGATCACCACCGTTTCAACGGAGTTGGACCCGTTCACTGAGACCGCAAAGTCCGGTTTGGTAAGCTTGTGTTGGAAAAAGTTTCATAGGTTTATTTGAAGTTTTCTGGAACTTAGAAGCCATAGAAGATTATTTTCTTTATTCTTAGGTTTTTAGAAGATAGGTTTGTCTAGGGTTCGGTAATCGGGTAAAAAGAAGAAAAACGGTGGCTGCTGCCTAATGCGATTTGATGCCGTCTGAACCGTTGCCTTGGGATCGGAAGGATTTTTACAGGGAGAGGACGCACGAGAGGACGCAGTCGCTGCCTCAGCAGTCACTGACAGAGCGATGGAGAGAGTCCTCTTCGATGTCGCCTTATCAGCATGGGTCTTTTAGAGAATTTACTCGTTGGGGATCCGGCGACTTCCGTCGCCCTCCTGGTAAGTTCTTTCTTTCCTTTTTATGCCGTTTTTTCACCCGCGGTCTCTTATTTTAAAATTTCAATCCTCATTATTTTATGGTGTTAGGAATTAAGGACCGGTCTGATCCGTGGGTTTTAATGTTTTGTTTTAGTTTATTTTGGGAATATTTGATTTTTTATGTTTTGTATTACTAGAGATTATATATATCTTCATTCTAATTAATGGAGATTTTTCTTTTTTCCCAGGCAGTTTTTTTCCTGCTCGTTTTGCTTTATTTAAGTAATCAACGTTCTTGATTTTCTAGGTAGGGTTTTCTTTTCATTAGGGATAGGAATTTTGATTACTATTTTTCAGTCATAGAAGATCATATAGTTTGATTATATAAATTGAGATTTTTATTTTAATTTACAGTATTCTACTTGGCCATTTTTGTTTTAATGGAGAATTTTAGTTTTCTACTAAATATTTCTCATTTGGGTGTATGATTTTTTGACCCCTCCCATTTGGAGAATATACATACGATGCACATGTTAATACTTGTTACCTTTTCTTTGTTTCTTTAATTTCTATGAAGGCCATGGTAAGCAGGGCAGTTGGCACCTGTTTGCTGAGGAAAATGGTGGTCATGGATATGTCCCATCGCGACCAGGCAACAAGATCTTGGATGATGAGAAGTTCTGTCATTCAGATCCTCGTGTAGATGGGAAATATGCTCAAAACAGTAGGGAAAACAACAGTGTGTCTTATAGCCAGAGAGATTGGAGAGGTCATTCTTGGGAAAGCTGCAATGGGTCCCCAAGCACTCCTGGGAGACCTCATCATGTTGATAATGAGCGGCGGTCGGTGGATGATATGCCATCCTACCATTCTCATACTCATTCTGACCATGTAAACTCATGGGATCAAATTCAAAAAGGCCAGCATGACAATAAGACAAGTGCTGTAAATGGGTTAGGCACCGGACAAAAATGTCAAAGAGAGAATTCAGTAGGCTCAATTGATTGGAAGCCTCTGAAGTGGAGTCGTTCTGGAAGCTTGTCTTCACGGGGGTCAGGCTTTAGCCATTCAAGTAGCTCAAAGAGCTTAGGAGGTGTAGACTCTGGTGAAGGGAAACTTGAGTTGCAAAAGAAAAATTTGAACCCCATCCAGTCTCCTTCTGGGGATGCAGCAGCATGTGTCACATCTGTTAGACCTGTTGAGACAATGTCAAGAAAGAAGGCACGCCTTGCATGGGGTGAGGGTCTGGCCAAGTATGAGAAAAAGAAAGTTGAAGGCCCTGATACCAGCACAAACAGAGGTGGTGCTACGATTTCTGTCCGAAATACAGAGTTGAAAAATTCTCCGAGTTCTAACTTGGCAGTTAAGAGTCCTAGAGTCCTTAGATTTTCTGACTGTTCTTCTCCTGCAACTCCTTCATCTGTTGCTTGCAGTTCCTCACCTGGTAAATATTAGATTTTGTTATATATTTTTTTTCAGTTTTAAGGAGATTACCTAAAATAGGTATATATTTGGAGTTGCACAGTCTTGGCATGATTCTTTGTTTAATAATGTTCCTGATTTGCTACCTCTCTGCCTACCGGACCTTTTCTAATAACATGAAATGTAGTGTTGGATGATGTACAAAGCATTCACAATTCACAAGTGTTTTAGCACGCCCCTATGCCAATTAATTATTTTTAGAATACTGATACTGTTATTGTGCATTCAACATACACCTTTTTAAGGCCATAACAAACTTAAACAGTTATGTGGTTCTTTTCATTGGCATGGCATTTTGCTGTTTTCCCTTGCTTTAGGAGCTATTATTTGAGTGCTTATACATTCTTGACACTCCACTTCTCCCGCAGAGTAAACACTATCTGTTAACTCTATGGTTTTATGAGGTGATATCAATTTTCCTTATACCAGTTAAGTTTCACTTGTCAATGCATGTAGCATGTCTGTTGAATTTTAGGGCTTTGTTATTAAGGATGAAAACGTCTGGATTGGTTATTCCCATTTGAGAATTTGACCCATGTGTTAGAAGAAACTTTTGATTTCTGTGCATTGATTGCTTTATTGTTGACCGACTTATTCTTTAGTTGTTTTTTTTTAAGTTTCACATTCATAAACAGTGGTATCCCACTTGTTTAAGTATCGTGTGTCTTATCTTATATTCAAGATTGATCAGTCACCTATTACCAATTAGTTTTACAGGTTGGGTGTTTATCTCACATCTAATCAGAATTGGGTTTCTTGTGGTTGTATAATCAATTTTGGGTCCTTCCACTTATTAATAGTTGATTTTATATTGGATGTTTGCATTTATAGTTTCCAAACCATGTCCGAATTAGAGTTTTTTTCTTTTTTCCTAATTAATAGGAGAATATCAAATTGCTGGATGCTAAATGATTCCCTTTCTCTCTGTATATTTGTTCTTGCATTTGATTGTAATGAGAATGCTTCTCATTTATTACCTCATTGTTCCTGGTTTCAGGTTTGGAAGAAGAGTCATTTAGCAAATCTGCAAATATTGGTAATGATATTACTAATTTATGCGGTTCTCCAAGTATTGGGTCTCAAAATCATCTAGAACCCTCTTTTAATTTAGAAAAGTCGGATATCAATTCAATTATTAATATGGGCACTTCTCTTATTAATTTGCTTCAACCTGATGATACAGTAGATTCTTGTTTTGTTCTCTCTACTGCAATAAGCAAGTTGCTACTTTTGAAAGGTGATGTTTTGAAGGCTTTGGAGATGACTGAATCTGAAATTGATTCACATGAAAATGAATTTAAGTCTTTGAAAGGTGACACCAGACAGGAATGTCCTTGCCCAGCAACGTCTAGTTCTCTTCCTGTTGAGGAACATGGGAAAGCTCGTGGGGAACCAGAGGCTGCGTCCGGTATGATCTCTCGACCTGCCCCTTTGAAGATTGATTATTGTGATGCTCTTGTGGAGAACCTGCACCTTTCTAATGGTTCGCTGGAAGAAGTTAATGATGATGTTAAAGTTGGGGATATTGATAGTCCTGGAACGGCAACATCTAAATTTGTGGAACCATTGTCTTTGGAGAAAGCAGTTTCTCCATCTGATATTGTCAAATTCCATGAAAGTTCTGGTGATTTGGGTTCTGTTCAATTGATGACAATGGAGGAAGTGATTTTACGTACTGGTTCAGGTAATGAAGGGACTGCGACTACCATTTCTGCGGAAGGCAGTGTGCTAAAAAAGATTGATAATGATGCACTTGTTTCAGAATCTTCAAGCTCCGATGCTAGTGGAGAGAAAATTATGTACGAAACAATATTGGCCACTAATAAGGAATTGGCTAACGTAGCTTCTGATGTATTTAATGAACTATTGGCAAAAAGTTTCAACGGCGTTGAGATTTCTGAAATTGCTAATGTAGCGTGCACACAGTCTGATACTGCAATCAGGGAAAAAATTGCAATGCGGAAGCAGTACTTAAGATTTAAGGAGAGAGTTCTGACATTTAAATTTAAAGCATTTCAGAATGCATGGAAGGAAGATATGCGTTCGCTTTCGATGAGAAAATGCTGTGCAAAGTCCCTGAAGAAGTATGAAATAAGTTTACGTTCAACTCATGGTGGCTACCAAAAGCATCAATCTTCCATTCGTTCTCGAGTTGCTTCTCCTGGTAATTGTTTGAGCCTCCTGTTTGGAATGTTTTACATTTGATGCCAGTTTGTTATGATTTTGCATGTGGTTTGAGTGGCATTGTTTCAGATTATGTGACACTTGTATATTGTTTCCTCTTCTCTTATCTGTTATCTCATTCCAATTACCTTTAATCTTTTGATCATTTGTCTCCTTGGATGCATGTAAGGTGCAGTGTTGAGGATTATTTTTCATAAGATTAAAACTGTGATACCCCATCTTTTTCATTTTTTATTGGAAATGAAATTACTATAGAAGTGTTGCTGAAAATCAGTATCGGAAATAAAGGAAAATCTTGAATGGAAAAATGGACTATAAGCTAGGTTTCTATTTTCAATAGAGATAAGTGGATAATCAAGGTTCAGTTCTCTCAGGCCAAGTAAATAGATGTTGAATTTTTTATGATCAAGGCAAGCCAAGAGAACTGTGTTCAGTTGATATTGAGTCAAATATTAATCAACACTAACAAGGCATATAAAAACTTCCATGACAATCCTTTTCTGATAAAGAATTGCACAATGCTAGTTCTGGGAGTCAGTTCATTGTTCTGTATTATGAAATCTCTGTTCGTGGTGGAAGATGCATTGTTTGACATGTTCAAGTTATTTCTTGGTTACAAAGGGCTTTTATATGCATTTTCATAAATGACCAATCCTTAATGGTATTAGAGATTCTGGGTTTTTAGTGGATATTTGATAATAACTCGGAGTAAATAGAAAGCAACCATACTTTGACCTTTGTCTGGTGAAACTTATTGCATTTATTATGATTGCATGAAATTTGTTATTTTGGTGTGTGTTACTGCATTCCCCTCCAATGTTGATAGTTGGTAAATTGTAGGATTGTTATCTTCCTCAATGCCTTATGTATTATATGTATGCGCTGTTAGCACAGATTGCTTGTCTGCAAGAATATTCTTATCATGGTCGTCAGGAACTATTTTAAAATTGAATGTTTTAGTCATAGCTGGGATTTGCTTGATTGCTTCGATTTTCCTGGCAAAACTTGATTAACACATGTACTATCTTCTTATATATATATATTTTTCACTGAAATGCTTTCATTTAAGAAAATTGTTACTCCTGATGGTTGTAATTTTTTATAATTCCTTGTAGTATATTAAGCCTGTGGCTTTTGACTTGGATTTTCATTTTTCCTTTCTATTCTTGAAAATTGTTTATTTAAAGATGAAGTTATCTGTGATGATGTGTATAATTAATATTTGGGGTTGTTTTTGTAGCTGGAAATCTGGTCCTGGAACCTAGTGCTGAGATGATCAATTCTGCTAGCAAACTACTACCAGATTCCCATGGAAGGATTCACAGGAATGCTTTGAAAATGCCAGCATTAATTTTGGATGAGAAAGAGAAGGTTTCAAGGTTTATCTCTAGTAATGGATTGGTTGAAGATCCATTTGCTATTGAGAAGGAAAGAGCTTTGATCAATCCTTGGACATCAGAGGAGAAGGAAATTTTTATAGATAAATTGGCTGCCTTTGGGAAGGACTTCAGAAAAATTGCCTCCTTTCTTGATCACAAGACTACTGCAGACTGTGTGGAGTTCTATTACAAAAATCACAAGTCTGAATGTTTTGAGAAAACAAAGAACAAGAATGATCTCAATAAGCAGGGGAAGTCTGCTGTGAATACCTACTTGTTGACATCAGTGAAAAAACAGAGCTGTGAAAATGCTGCATCCCTTGATGTTCTTGGTGCAGCTTCAGTTATAGCAGCTCATGCTGAAAGTAGCATTCAAAACCGGCATAAATCTTCTGGTAGGATCTCTTTAGGAAGGCAGTTTGATTCTAAAACATCTCGAGTTGATGATAGCATTGCTATAAGGTCATCTAATTTTGATATTGTTGGAAGTGATGAAGATACTGTTGCTGCTGATGTTTTAGCAGGTATATGTGGTTCTTTCTCTTCAGAGGCAATGAGTTCCTGTATCACTAGTTCTGTTGGTCCTGGAGAGAGTTACCATCATGACCGGATGTGCCACAAAGTTGATTCTGTGGTAAAAAGGCCTTCAACATCTGATGTCTTGCAGAATGTTGACGAGGATACCTGTTCAGATGAGAGTTGTGGGGAAATGGATTCTGCTCATTGGACTGATGAGGAAAAAACCATCTTTATACAGGCTGTCTCCTCTTATGGTAAAGATTTTGAAATGATTTCACGTTATGTTGGTACAAGATCCAATGATCAGTGCAAGATTTTCTTTAGCAAGGTCCGTAAATGCCTTGGACTCGACTTGATGCATCAGAGAACCAGAAACTCAGGTACTCCCATGAGTTATGATGCCAACGGTGGTGGAACTGATACAGAAGAAGCTTTTGTCCTAGAGAGCTCAGTTATTTGTGGTGATAAGTTGGGATCTAATGTGGAAGACAACTTGCCTCCCACTATCGTGAGCATGAACGTGGATGAATTGGATCCTACCACAGAGGCGAGTTTGCAAACTGATTTGATCATAGCAGAGGGAAATGATAGGAGGCTAGTAGATAGCAAAAATTCTGAGGCAGTGGAAGCTATTTTTTCTGATGTAGACCAGACGGGGCCAATTTCCGAAGGTGGTACTGATGATATGGATGTTGATAACCAGGCTGAGTCACTACAGGTTCAGAAAAGTGTTGCTTTGGCCAATTTAAATACTCTAAGAAATCTCGTTGTTGAACAAGGTGTTTCCCTTGCAGTATCAGCATCTCATGGGGGGACAGTTGATCCTTGTCTTTCTAGTTTAGATGCATTGGTTGAGCCCAAATCTGATGCTACTTGTTTTATTAAGGGGTTTGGAAATAATAGGGGGGCACAGAAAACTTTGTTGTCCAAAAAATGTACGGATGAACATGATACAAAATGCAATGCAGAGACTGGCAGTCAAATTATATGTAGGCCGGATTCAAATGGAACTGGCGATGGGTCCATTGATAAAAATTTCAACCCTGAAGGTCTGCATAAAGTCCCGCCTGATTTAGGTTCCGCCGGGAAGCCTTCTATCTTATTATTGCCAGATGAAAGTTTGTTTGCTAAAATTTCTTCATTACATGATTCTGATACTTCTCAATGCGAGAACATATGCAACCAAGATAGGTTGTCATCAACACTTGCTTCTCCGGTGACTGAAGACAAACAGGCTCATAAAGCTGTTAGTGGACACGAACCCGAGCAATTTTCTGGAAAGCCTTTGGTGGATCTTGCTGATTTGCAAATCTCAACTTTGAAAGAAATAAATGTTGATGTCGGTTGTAGTCGGTTGCCTGAAGTTAAAAGGCATTCAACATCAGATAGTGGTGTTACTGGCTTATTTTTGTCTCGAGATTATCTTCATAAGTGCAGTGGTCCAAAACCAGCAGCCGAGCTTCCACAACTGGTACAAAAATTAGAGGTAGCCAACAGTCGGCAGAAATCCCACTCTCGGAGTCTGTTGGATACAGGAAAATCTTGCAGGGATGGAAATGTCAAGCTGTTTGGTCAGATACTCAATTCCAGTTCCCATGATGATGAAAAGGTGGCTCATTTCTCGAAACAAAGTGCGGAATATTCAGATCTAAACTTGTCAGGTCATAACAGAAATGGAAATTTATCGAAGTTTGATCAAAACATTATTTTTGCACCCGAAAATGCTCCCAAGATAAGTTATGGTTGTTGGGATGGCAACAGGATACAAACTGGGTTGTCATCTTTGCCAGACTCTGCTATTTTAGTGGCAAAGTATCCTGCTGCATTTGTCAATTATCCTTCATCCTCATCTGAAAGGGAGCATCAGGCATTGCAGACTGTTGTTCGGAAAACAGAGAGAAATTTGAACGGCGTTTCAGTTTTGATCCCAGGAGAAATAAGCAGCACCAGCACCATGATGGATTATCAAGCGTACAGGGGGCATGATCGTACCAAGGTCGTACCATTTGCTGCAGATATAAAGCAGCATCAAGGAATGTACTCTGAGATGCAAAGACAAAATGACTTTGATGCAATCTCACATTTACCGCAGCAGGGAAGGGAAATGGTTGGAGTGAATGTTGTAGGGGGATCCTGCTCTAATCTTTCTGATCCCGTGGCTATGCTTCGGATGCAGTTTGTGAAAACAGAACCATATGGTGGACAGAGTGGGAGCAGAATGAGGGAAGAAGAGTCGTGTAAAGGTAAGGGAGACATGAACATACGCAGGTAGTAGAAACCAAATTCCTCGGCAGCCAAAATAGCTCTTTGCTGCACGCTGTATAATAGTTTTTATTTTTTTTGATGAAAATCATGACCCGGGGGGGGGGGTCCTTTTTTGTAGAAAGAAAAAATATATTAGGTGCCTTTTGTAATATTTGTAGCAGCTGTCTTTGTACTTGTTGTATTTGATGGAAAATACACAAATAATATGTAAAAGATTAGGAGGGGTAATCCTGCTATTTTGCTGTTTTTAGTAGGTAAATGGGTGTAAACGAGATAGTCTTTCAAGTTCAGGTTGAAAGAAATTTCGATTTCAATTTAGATATACCTTAGAGAACATTTGTCTTTTGGTTACTAATTCCATTATATCCAATTTATTTTATGTGTGATTTTTTAATAATTATTAATATTTAATTTATTTGTAGATTAATTCGAATTGAGGAGAAGAAACCTTTCTCTGATTACAATACTTAGTAAACGTGTTATTATATTAATTTTATTAATAAAGTATTAATATTACATTATTAAACCTTAATATTCATAAAATTAACTTTTCTGTAGCTGCTGTAGGTGCATATATCATTAATTATTTTAATTTCATATTGTTATATTTTATACCATTAATAATAAAAGAAAATATTATTCATTCTAAAAATCGTGGGTTACAATTAAATAGACTGAAATTGTTGAATAAAAAAGAAAAATAGAAAAAATAAATAAAATTATAGGTGATTAGGGGTGAATTTGTCTTTCTATTTAACATTATTGAAATTATCTCTTTACCCCCAAAATATATAAACATCTTATTCATATATCCTCAATCATCTGAAAAAGAAACAAATCAGCCTCGACATAAAAAGAACAATAAAAAAGCCATATTTACCAGAATGAAATCAAATAATTAAAAACTTGGAAGAAACCAATGATGTCATATGATAAAACACTGCAAATGAAACCCCAATATGCTTGAGCCAAGTTGAGAAATGACAAAAATGGCATCATTTAGTATTCTCTGTTGAAACCATCTATATACTAAAAGAAGAATCAGATGGTCTTTGGTTATTTCTTGAACCTTCTCCTGAATTGGATGATAATTCTGCAATGCAATGAAGAAACATAAAAGAAGGCATGAAGTAGTTCAGGAACATGCAAAAGAGCAAATGAACATCAACTGAAGAAAATCTTTATAAAGCATTGTGAACTTTCTGGCCAAATGAAAAAAAAAAAGCATAGTAAACTTACTTAAGAGTTAGTGCCATCGGTAGCTTTCTTGTATTCCGGTTTCAGCTCATATGACCCTTGATTAGTTCCCTTGTTGTTGTATATACAGAGGTCTTTAAGTATATCTTTCAGAAATTGCTTCAAAGAGAGATGTATGAAGGAGAATCAGAGAACTGTAAGCTATTGTCCGGAATGCAATACGACAATGAGTCATTTATGCTTTGAGTCGATGACAATTAATCATTCGAATATCATATTTAGTGGAATCCAATAGGTTATACCCTGACTTTTTTTGTAGATTGATGATCCATTTAGAAAAATCTTAAACATTTTCAAGCAATCTACTTGTTGTACCCCGCTAGAATAATTTCAGATTTGTTTTTCTAAAGAAATAGCCTATGTTTCTTTGACTCGAACATAAGTGCCGAAAAAGGGGCAGTGTTTGACACGGATGTTCAGCTTTTTACTAGTGCCAGACAAATCGGAGCAACATAGAAAATAACACCTACCCTAGACTGAATTCATCTCTAACAAATCTTTATCGCTGATTTTAAATACTATATCTTCTGAAACATTTTTCCAAACCCTCTTTAATTTAAAACAGGCTCAGCTAGCATTGAATTAATAGAAATGCCAATAGCATTAAGGTTTCAAAAGTTACCATGTCAGTAGAAATAATTGAGTAAGAAGCATACTTCTGGTTGGTCTGTCTCTTGAATCAGTTGTCTTAAAGTCCAATTCGTTTGCCTTTCAAAGAGCTTAAACATAATATCTTCCATCTCTCCACGATCCCTCCGTGTTCTTTTTGTATCTAATGTCTTGGCAGGTGCCTTCTTCTTTTCCTATTGCAAACACGTCAGATCTTCTCATACATATGGTGGACATATTATAAATATATTCTGATTGCATATATGAGAGCAAATGAAAACAGACCCCACAGGAAATATCAGTAAAAGAACATAATATTTAGATAATTCAACATGTAAAGAACGTAGGCATGCGGACATTGAATACAGCAGCGATAATCATCCCTGGCATTGGCCTCATATGTGATCCATTGTCATTATCGATGACCTGAAATGTAAAATAGGGGAAAAAATTTGTGGGAAAGGGAAAGGAGACGAGGGAATGTAAAATATGTGGTAAATAATAACACCAAAAATACCGTATAGGAAATAAGGACACAGATATATAAAGTAATTATTAGAACCTGTATCTGTCTGGATTTGTTCATAGATTTATTTGTCCGTTCACGGCAGAGTTTCCCATAGTTCTCGATGTTTTCATCATGAGGTCTCATGTCAAACTTGTTTAGTATTTTCCCCTCAACTGCAAGCTTTCCTGCAACATAAGACAAATTTCATAAATATCAATAGTAGTGTTAATTAGGAAATTGTGAATTTATTCACTGCACTAAACAGATATTTTGTTGATGATTCAAAAGAACCTCCGTTAGGGCAATTATTAACATATCTGATCATCAATAATATTTCAAGATAGAAGTGTCCCAAATAAGTGGTTGGACCTGAATTTTTGTTGGAAAAAAGGAATTTTCTTAAACTGAATTTAATGTCAACAAAGTAATAGAATGACAGTTTTAGAATCTACACTTCCAATAAGCCAAATAGAATGGATTATCTCCCAGATTCTATGCATAACCAATACATGAAAAGTCAAGCGAAATTGTTCTATCAATATTTCAGTTATAACAAAAACAGTTTAAGTCCAGGAGAATAACCCTTAGTTGAAAAAGGTGATGTGTTGCATCGCAACATTGATAATACATTCAAATATTTGTCAAGGAGCCTATTTTAGAGAATAGAAAGAACACATTATAGCAGTACAATTTAGTGCTAATAGGAGAAAAAGTAATATCCCAATTCCCCAATTTCCGTGTAAAGTGACGGCACAAGACTTGATTAGAAGTAGCTCAGAAATCGATATCGTGTAAAATGCAAGATGACAAACTTACACGTGGAAACATTTTATCCATGGCAAGGTATAAAGGCTGGTCTCTCCTGGAATGACACAGGCTTACCTTGGGATGTCTGTGAAAACACAGACATTGGAACAAAGTCTTTGGTCATGTCCATGGAATAACTCTTCGGTACATCTCCAGTTTCTGTGCCAACCAAATCCATGGTAAACTGAGGTTCAACAAACAACTTATGTAAGACGAACACAATCAAAGCATTATTATTCCAAGTAAAAGAACATGATTCCACCTTGCTCAGTCAACCGATAAAGAAAACTCAACTGACAGCACAAACTGTGGGAAGTAAAATAATGTAATGGAAATCAAAGGAACCCGAACATATGAAACACCTAGAAAAAGTAAATTCAGAGCTACCTAAATTGTTTGATCGAGGGCTAAATTCATTTTTGTGATTCACTATAGTTTTATGACAGCTAAGAAGAACCAAACTTAATTTTGTTTCAAGACATTGATGCCACATTTTTGAATTTCTCGTCCAAACGAGATTGAAAAGCTGCCCAACTCCATTGAAAACAAATCTTAAGCCCTGGGAGGCTGAGCATTTTGTTATAATTTCTAATGGTTTGTCCAAGCTCTATCATTAAACATCATTTGCTAGGGTCTTTCAACCACTTCTGAAACCATATTATTTCTTTCAGCTAACTTTCATCAACAGGGATAGTCATAAGTTTTATGGTTTCAACTTTCAACCAACTCCATTACTATGACTACTGTTATCACCATCAAGCCATTCTATAAATCATCAATTATGAATAAAACAACCTAACACTCAACAACAACACAACTAGGAATAATATATATATATATATATATATATATATATTCATACACACATATACATATATATAAGCCAATGCCACCAATATAACAAGATTCATTCTTCCATATGAACGTCATAATAATTATAGAAAAAAAGTTCATCTCTCTATAACTAACAAACTATCCATGCAAGCAATCTCTTGTGAATTAACATATAAGTTCACCCAAAGAGCAAAACACGTTACTTGCTTAATACATTACTATGGTAAAGAACAAAACCCAACTGAATTTCAAAGCTTTCAGCATACACTACTCAGCAAAGATTCATTATTTTATGACCCAAAGAGCAAACAGGAAAAAAACAGCATGAAAAACCAGAATTTCAAAAATCCTAAAAAAAAACTAGATAAAATTGAGTTGGAAGTATCGTCCCATAATGAGTCTCTACAGTATCCGATTAGAATTTGTTATCGAATGGGTTGAAACCGATAGTTATACTAGAAAATTCGTAAAAAACACAAAACATAAGAGGAAAACTAAAAAGCGAAGAAAAAAATCAAATTCCACTAAGGGGGAAAAGCAATGCATGCAGTGAAACAAACCCAGAAAACCAAAAGAGATTCCAAACTCTAAAACCCATCAAGCCAGATAAACAAAACAAATCCCTGAAAAATCACACGATAAAGAAGGACAAATGCATGCCATGAACGAAACCCAACAAATAAACACAGTGTTATCGTTCCAAAAAGATGGAAACCTGAGGAGAAGAGGAGTCATTGTCATCACTAGAGACACGAGGGTCAATGGAAAGAATAACTTTGGCAACCGCATGAGAAGGAGAAGCTGAAGCTGAAGAAGAAGAGGAGGAGGGTTGAGGGCGTTGGAGAGAGCGTGAAACCAAACGAGGGCACTTCATTAACCACATTGATCTTTCGGCTTTGCTTGTTTCAAGGTAGATATCCTTGTTTTCCATGGAGATTTCCTTTGGAAGACGAAATGTCTAAAAATAATTTCGCAGAAATAAAGAAGGAAAGGAACATACAAACTTTTGGTAAACGATATACGGAGTTGGGACTCGGAAGATCTTTTGTTTGTTTTTATTTTATTTTAAATTACTTAAAATTTAAAATTAATTTTATAATTAAATTATAAAACGTTTTAATTTTAAAACTGAATTTTAGTTTTAATATAAACATCGATTAATATTTGGGTGACGTGATAGTTTAACGTTGATTTGTATAAACATTGATGTTCAATAATTAATTTTTTATTTTGTTTCGTCATCTTCTTCATCGATTTTAGTTCTATAATATATTTTTTACCATTTTTTTACGTCTTTTACTATCACCTTACATATTAATAAACTCGGAAGATCGGCACAACGATTCGAGCTTTTATTTCTGATTCTTCATCTTCTCCAGTTGGCACAACGATTCGAGCTTTTCTTTCTGGTTCTTCATCTTCTCCAGTTGTTTCTTCAACAGTTCGCGCTGCTCGAGCAAAGACGAACGATGATTAGTGGTAGATAAAACACTTCTTGAAAGAGAGAATGATTCCTAAAGAATGAAAATGACATGTTAACTGCGAACTCCTCTACAAATTCTACGAGAGTAACATCTGATTTGTCACATTTGCTCTTCAAGAATGCATTCTCCTTCTTCAGTTCCTCGATTGATTTTCCCATCTAATTTATATGCAAAAGGAAAAATAATTGGTAACTTAACCAAAATCGTAACACGACACGGGACTTGATTCGGGTACGAGTGTCGAACATGATTGTGTATCGTACTTATCGTACTGATATGTTCGCCTTTTCCGAAGATTTCCATGTCGTTAGAGAATCTATCCCCATACCTATGCTCGGATATGCATCAAATATGGATGTCGGATACTGCCCGTATCCTAGGAAAATGTATCTCCCTCAAAGGTAAAAGGAAAACAATGTACCTTATCAATCTCTTGCTTAAATGTTTCAAAGACCTCATTGCTCTTTAACAAGGCATCCTGCAAAATTTAGTGGAGTGTCAAACATAATGAAGACACGGGTGAAGTGCATGGAGACACTAATCAGCAGTCGATACGCAGAGGATGTCGAACCAGTGAAGTGCATTCAATGAGTGACTTCTTAGTTGCCTAGAAAGGTATTACAAAAGCATTCCACTACAATTCCTACAACGAAAGGACTTTAAAGTCTCAGTTATTCGGACACGGGTATGTTCAACTTTTTAAAGCTCTTTTCATGTATTTGGAGGATCTTTGAAGGATCATGTCCCAAAATCTATATCCAGATATGCATCGGAAACGGGTATTGGACACGGATACTTAAACTGTAGCTTTATACTAAATCATGATGCTGTGCATGTGACAACAAACCTTCCGATAAGACCTCTTTACCGAAATCCGGCGTCAGCCATCCAAGACAAATCACATAAGCACACAATACCTAATATTATATTCATCAGCTTAAAGAGAAAAAAGAATAAAACTAAAACAAAATGATAAACGACATGGAAAAAGGGACCTGAAACTGTTGGAATTTTTCTCCATCGGCTGTCAACTGCGCGCGTAAGTTCTTTTCAGTTGCCAATAACTGTGACAGTTGCTCTGCCTACGCTTTCATCTGCACTTGTTCTTGGATCAATCTCTCTTCATGTTGCTTAATTTTTAGATCAGCAAGCTCTAGTTCTAGTGTTTTCTGCTTTAGCTGTGTCAAATGTCCAAGGCTAAGCTCACAGTTCTAGACAACACAATTTGGTTGTATTTTGAGATGGAAAACCTTCGCTATACCGGTAAATCTAACCCGTATCTTTTGTTCAAATTGTTGTTCAGCGAGATCATATTGATCAGCGAACTGCTTCAACTTATCTATTGACCTATACATGAACAAGTCCAGAAGTACCAAGTAATGACAAACTGCCGCTAAAACAATCCATTAAATCAAAATAAATTATATATGTGAGATGAGGCTTTCCCAGATTGCAGGAATTCTTTGGAAATTTACTTGGAAAAGCCAATATATTTGAAAACTTCAAAAGGGAGATCGGATGTCCAAATTAAATTATCCTTGAGAGAAAAAGAAAAACAGAATAGAAAAGAGATGTAATTTAGTGATTCAAGTAACATTCAGAGTATAGATGACACCAATCTTGAAGGGCAATATTTGTAATAACTGGACATGCAATCCCCGTCTCTTACATCTCATTCTCCTTCAGTTGAGATAGGCACTCATTCTTCTGTTCTTCCAGCTTATTGGTCACATCCTATAAGAAAAGGGGGGGAGGGGGAAGGGGGAAGAAGATTAAGAAACTACCAGTAAAATATGTTCAGGGTGAATCTCTTATGGGAACCAATCTTAAACTTAAGTCCCAGTAACATAGATTCATCCAACAAGAGATGCAATTTTCAGCTCTCGAATTCAACTAATAGACTTGCAGTTCTATCTTGACGAGTTATGACACAGTTCCCTTTACCGCGTTTACTCTCTGTTGACCTATGCTACAAATATGCTATGTGAACCGCTGTCATGGTATCAATCACGTTTAACAGTTTAGACAATGATCTTATTAACATGGCTGCAGAGAGATGGACCAGTCAGCATATTCACCATGACCACTTTCAAAATCAAAATGGGAGCATCAAACCTTGATTGCATTATGGAACCCCGCCGATACATCTAATCTTATATTTTGCCTTTCTGTTGATACCCGTTTACATTCGTCCTGTGGAATCATGAGCGAGCCATCAGCACCTTAATAAAAGAAAGACAAATAGCTCAAAGAGCACAAGTAAATCTTCGTCACGGAAATAGAAAATTTAAAACAGATAATGATAAGAAATCACCATCGACGAATTCAAATATATCGGAATTAGAAATGGTAAAACCAAAGGAAAGTTGCTTTCTTCGATAATTATATTTGTCGTGAAGATTCACTATCACTTGATTAAAAGTATGTCAAACACTTACAGAAGAAACCAGAGGTTCAAAAAATGTTTATCACAGCAAGTAACACTAAAACGTACGTAAGAGCCCCTTTATATAGGAAGTACAGTTGAGATCAGAACTATTATTTGTATCGTTTTATGGTTGGTTTGTAACATAATCATAAGGTCAACATACTATGTGCAAAGCGTATCAAGAACAAATATTCGGTAGAATGCAATAAATCAAAAAGTGACAAAGCATCCAAAGAAAACTACCATTAACATTTTGTTTTGACGTTGTAACTCCCTACAAAGTGATTCAAGTTTATCTCTGACAGCAATAGCTACACGAGAAGGCAAAGAAACAAAAATCAGTTTCATGATGTTAAAGATATATAAGAGAGATTATAATATTCACCGATGTGTCATATGTGCCTCCTTCACATTCATATCATATGAAACCTAATATTCAACAATAACTTCTACATTTAGCTGGTCACTGATTCCAAGGAAATGAACATATCTGGGTACAGTGAGGTCAAAATACTTTCTCATCCAACAAAAGAAGAAAGAACTCATAACTTAAATTGCATTCATATAGGAATAGCTCTTTCCAAGAGACAACAGGCAACATTGTACTAGGTATGATTATTATAGTATTTTGGAATAGATCGTAACAAATAGCAATAGTTATCATACTTGAACACTCGCATTTAATTTGTTTATTTACTTTTAAATTTGTCAAACTGAAGACGCAGAAAGTGTATACATCCAACATATAGCATATGGCAGAATTAAAAACCAGTTTTCAACCTTCATGAACAAGTATCCTTTTTGGCAACATAAAAGGTATCTTCACAGCAAAACAACTCCTATTATCATGAAGGTTCAATAAAATTTGGTCTTAGGTAACTAAACCAACATATTCATCACATCATGTGATACAGTGATAGTGACTTTTTTGGCATCATAAATGTTATTTCAACTTACCTGCATCTCTTTCTGCAAGAACTTGTTGATATTTGAAAGAAATTCCTTTCCAGATTTTAATGTACGTTTTGCATTCTTGTGCCTGGTTTCAGTGGTTTCCTAAGAACTAAACCGGCGAGTTCACTTACATAGATGAAACTGATACAAGTAACTTCTGAATAAATTGAACGTCACTGAACAGACTGTCGTACTCTTGAAAAATATGACACTTGGCATAGTCATAAACTATCAGCATTGCAACTAACATACATGGTCAAATGGTTTTCTTCTTCTTCTTGAAACGAACATTATTATAATCATCTAGAATTGCTATAAAGATTAGCCTCCAGAAAAGAAAAAAAATAAGCAACCAGTCAAAAGTTACCAACGACCTTGGGATAAAAAAAGACAAAGGGTGCTTCCATATAAGTAAGCAATAATCATCAGCACTTTCTTGATGATCATACTGAAACCAACCCACAAGTATAACAATTCGAAAGAACTTAGTCATGTGCTATGATCTACTAACTGTTTTTTTTTTTTTTTTTTGTTCCTGGAGGAATCCATACTCTCTGACAAATATGTTTCCTTCAAATCAGTAGATTTAGCTTCTGATCCTCCTCCAACTGCTGCCGAAAAAAACCACCGATGAGCATTTTGAAAGGCATCAATCGAACATAGGAACCCAATATATGTTTATTTTAATTTATTACAAATTTTTAATTATTTTATTAAATATTTGTGATTAAATTCATTTTTATACTTTTCATAGTTTATTTAGGGAAATTTAAGATATTTTTATTATTTTAGTTTTTTTTAATTAATGTACTTAGCATTAATGAAAATATGCTAAAGTCTTTTATGGTGTTTAGGAGCCTATTTATAGGCACTTGTGTAAAAAAGGGAGGACAATTTTTTAGAGGAGAAAAAGAAAAGAGGAATCACCTAAGTTTTGTAATTTGAAAGATACAAGTTAATAAAAAGAATTTGAAGTTAATTGTTTTTTTTACTTTTATTATTGTTTTTTTTTATTTTGATTTTTTTCTTTTTAAAACTCCGTCGGATGAGAAGAAACCGGTGAATAAGGAAAAAAAGGCTTTCAAATAGATGTTTATAGAGATTTAGCCTTCTTTAAGGTTTTTCGACGAAAATCGACCATGAATCGTAAATGAGAATTTTTTCCCTTTTGATTTATAACTTAAAAGAATTTTTTTTTTGAGTGTTGAATTCAATTAAATGACCCGATGATCCGATTTGTATCCTTATGAGATCCACTTATTTTTACACGGGTAGTAAATAATTCAAGTTCTCATGTTTGTTTGTTTTATGCTTACTAAGATCCTCCGGGGACAATCTAGCTATGGCAGTCCCCGGATTTCTTTTTTCTTCGGTTGACATTTTCCTGAAAGGCCATTTCCAAGATTAGGTTCATTGTTCCGGAACAAATAAAGAATATTCGAATTGAAAACTTAACAAACCACATTATGCAAGGCTTATGTTACTCCGACTCTTCATTCTTTTTTAATGTTCTTTTTCCAGAGCCAAACTTGTAATGACAATCCTAAGCTTGCATTAAGTTCTAACAAAGTGAAATTTTCAATCATAGAACATGCTACAGAAGAAGACTAGACTCATAAACAACAAATTTTACCATTCAACAGCCTATGTTTGAAAACATACAGATTGAACTATTCCACTCATCAACTATTCTTCATTTTTCTTGAAATACCTAATTCCGATGCCCATTTTCGATGCATATTTGGACATGGATGTGGAGATATAACTCTCCAAATACATAAAAATCTTAAAAATAATCGAACATATCCGTGTCTGATACCCACAGGAGAATCCAAGTATAATGGCTCATCAGAATGGTTGTTGATCTATGTTGTCGATAGAAAAACAGCTAACACGTGCACCCAACTATATAAGTTGTTGTTAGACTTGAAAAAGATAAATAAATATCACACTAAACGAATAGCATTCAACTTGTAACCTACCAACAATGTTCACTTCGCCATGTATAACATCGTGAACCACCTGCATTTTCGGATGACGGTATCTCTGAGCTGTTCGAGATGTGTATCGACCTCGTAAAACTGAAAAGAATAAGGTATCTGTAAATACTCTGAAGATTGAACTACATAATGAAAATTGGAAAATCAATTATGGCAATCCGGAAGATATCAAGCTATTTACAGAATTTTAGTATACCTCATTAGATATTGCCTGCAACATTTCGGCATGAGAAGACCCTCGTACAAGCTGCATGTTTAACTGTGCTTCGGCCTCCTCCTCTTCACATCTTTTCTCCTGTGAGCACAAAATTTTAAGATTTTTCTTTACAAACTCGGGAAATAAAAGATGGAAACAATTTACTATTCTACTCGAGCACAAGAAATGCTACTGAACCCAGTGACGTTACGATTACAAGCCACAAAATCCAAAGGAGAGAGTCATGCCAAGACTGCCCGAAACAAGAGTTACCTCTTCGGTTACTTTGGAAAGAAGAAGCTGCCACTCTCCTCGAATTTTTCCAGCAACGTTTTGGCCATTAGATGAACATCACTTCCTTTCTCCTTGTATTTCATTGCATTATCGAAAACCAATCTTACATCGGCACAAATAGCACGAACATTCTTATATCCAGTACCATCCTTGGCCTCCATTTGGTTTTTTATTGTACTGAAGTCCATTGGGTTTTCAATAACCTAGCAAAGGTAACATAATTAATCAATAAAACTAGGAAACCATTTCCAAAACTCTCTAGAAAGAGTCAGATAAGCACCAATAATACATGCAGCAGTTCTTACAGGTAGATACTACTGCTAGTGATGCCTAAAAAGGACGCTATAGTTCGACTCAAGAAATTATCGATTTTCATATGCATTCCTAGAATACACCCACCAGATTCCTCAACTCAAACAGGATAGATAACAAGTAAATGGACAGTTAATAACTTTATATCTGGAAAACTAAAATGACACAAAAGGAAAAATGCATTAATGCAACACACATTACCTTATGTAAACCAAGACCTTTGATATCTACCGGTTGCATAAACGGCCATGCCCACTTGTGCTCTAAGATCTGGAAGAAGCAAAACACACATAACCAGTATTTAATTGCAACTCCTCACTTATCAGCGGGATCGAGAAATGTTGCTGTTTTGATCCTGTAAGTGCTCAAATTATGAGATTATGCATGAAATAGCTAACGGTAAGAACGTATGCAATTCATAAAGATACTACGTGGGAAAACAGCTAAATATAAACAAAAGTTCCTAAAGAAAGCAGGAAGAATTGGCCAAAACTAGTTTAGATTTCAAGAACTACAAATTCAAACTTCCCATAAAAAGCAAAATCTGCACAACTACGCCTAAAGCAACCTACTGGACTCAATGAGTTAAGTTCATTGTTCTTATGTTTCCACTGAAACAGCAACGAAGAACTAAACAAGTCAAGAAAGAACACAGAAAAATGAGCGAATTCAGTAACAAGAACTTGAAGGAAAAAAAAAGGTTTTAAGCAAACCCCAGCTGACTGAATCAACCGAAAACAACACTTTCAAGAATTCGAAGACGTGTAACAAAGAACAGAGGGAGAATAAATTCAACTACGTATACTTCATACATAAACACCATGGGAATTTAGAAAAAATGAGAAATTACCAGAGAAGAGAATGGAAGTGAAGAGAATGCTCTGCTCCAGCTTTTTTGCTTTTTCTTTTGTGATCTGAACCAGAGGAGTGAGCGACGTCGTTTTGTTTTAAGGTTATTCCATGGCCTGTGCTGGACATCTATTTCAGCTCAACAGTTGGTCTGGACAAGAGGAATGAGCGACGCTTAACTTCGGTTGTGACAATTTTTGGCCATTTAATTATAAAAAGGAGAAACTACTTTATATACCACTGAACTTTTCCCATTATCTCGTTTATACCATTAAACTTTTAATTTTGCTAATTATAGCATCAAACTTTAGTTTTATATTCAATTATGACACTCCACTGTTAAGTTACTAACGAGACCGTAATATGGCTAACGGTTGCTGACATAATATGTCAGATCAAAATGATGTCATTTTGATGCAACTGTTCTAATATCTTAAATAACGTCGTTTTAAACTCTAAACTTTAGGGGTGTATCAATTTTATCATTGAACTTTTAAACATGTTAATTTTTTTTTTGTACTGCACTTTTTGGCTATCATTGATAATCAATCACCGCTCGTCACTGATCGTCTTTGTCGCTAAAGTTTTTTATATAGTTCGGAGTACGTACAAGGTAATATATGTTCAAAAAACACTCTCGGCCTTTGAACACTTAACGCTCACACCTCTAGCATTCCTGATGCTCGAACCCGAGACCTCAAGGAATAACAACAATTCCTTTACTGCCGAAGTCACTGGGGTTCATGCTACATCTCTAAAGTTCATTGCCTAAAACAATGTTATTCTATGCATCATAATAGCTACACCAGAAAGATGTCATTTTGATGTAATATGTCACGTCACTAATCGTTAGTCATATCATCGTCTCATTTCTAACTTCACGACGAAGTAACATGATTAAAGCGGAAATCAAACATCAATATTATAATTGATAAAATCGAAAGTTCAGTAATATAAATGAGTCATCGATCAAACTTCAATGGTATTTGAAGTAATTTTCCCTTATAAAATTTCTTAAGTCATCTTTAATTTTTTGAATTTTATTTGTTCAAATCATTCGAACGTTAATTGTTTAATTGTGTGATATTACAACACCAAAATGATGTATTTTAAGTATTTTTGTTTATAAAATTAACTTAAAATTTTAGTCGTCTTTTTCTTTTTAGTCGACATTCTTCTTCATAATCATTCAATTGATATTTATCTATATTTGTGACTTAACTGACACTAAAATCATTCTCCTTTTGTCCTCTTTTTTTTTTCAAAATTGATAAAATTTAAGTCAAAACTTTCAATTGATAATTAAAGAGTTGAAAATCATTCAAACATATACTATTTTATATTCGCCGTAACTTAATAAAAAAAGTTTTATAGACATCAATTTTGTTCGTTCAGGCCCAAGCCCAATATTAAACTTAAACCCAAATTCCATAACCAGCTTAAGTAGGCCTAAAATCATTGTCCAAAATATCAGAACCCATGTCCAAGCTGAGATCTGTCTTTTATCAAATGGATTGATCCTTTTAAAATCAGTATAATAAATATAATAGATTGAGCAAAATTGAAAAAAAATGTTAATTAAATAATACATTTTTGGGGGGTTTCATAAAATATTGATATATATTGGAAATTACAGATCATATAATATATCACGTTGATCTGAGCAGCTTTTCCAACTTCCAAAGGTTCCCCCTTTAGCCAATCTTCTTCAAGCTTTCACCTCTTCCAACTGTACCTATTCCACAGCAAAGCAAACTGTCTTTTTATTATCAGTTCTTCTATTGTCTTATTTTTTACCTAAAAATAATATAGATGGGCATGGGTCCAGTTGATTTTCCAACTAATACAATTTGATAAAAATATCTTTTTAATAAAAAAATTCAACTCTATAAAACAGGTCGTATCTGATTCACATACCTATTCTTAAACAGAACTATTATGTATTACTACTTGATAATAATATCATTAAAAGATTTAATTAATTCAATTTAGGGTTTATAATGTAATCATTCATCCTTTTCTTTTTTAAAAACAAATAGTTGCATATTAAACCTAGTGGATCAATCCCAACCCCCAGCACATGGTTTCCTGAAAGAACCAGTTGGCAGTGGACCCAAATCCAAAATCAAACAGGGGCTCACGTGACACCATGATTCATTTCATCAGACCACATTTAGACATAAAACATTAATTATAATGTGAAGGAGGTGAGCATGTTACCATGAGAGTGACCATCATGAAGTACCAATGGATTGTTACCTGAATTAGGAGCAATAGCAGCAGCAGGTTTAGAGATGATGGCGGCGGCGGTTGGAATTGTGGTGATGGGCCCAGCCGTTGTTGAGGAGAAGATGTGTGTGGCTGATGCCGGTAACCCCATTGTTTGTGATTGATGATAATGGTAGAATGGGTACATTGGCATCAATGTGTTTGCACCTGCAATAGCCTGCCCTGCTGGATACACTTGGGAGAAATGTCCATTCATGTAGGATCCTCCATTGTAGCTTAGCTTCTGTTGCTTCATATAAACATATGAAGTATTAGAAATTTATTTCTTCAAAAATTGTACCATTAGAAGTTGAGTTCATCCTTTCAATATACATTATTATATATCTCAACTTAATTTCAAGGATTAAATTGATACATATACTCTTTTTTTCTAAATCGATCTCTAAATTTAGCTTATACCACACATTTTTATATTTTATGTTATATTCACAGTTGAAGGTACCATAATGTAATGACAAAAACCGAGTTTAGGTATCAACATGTTCGATGAAAGCCAAGTTTAAGTATCGATTTGGAAAGAAAAAAAATATAAATACCAATTCGAACCCTGAATTAAGTTCAAGTAACGATTTGAAGTAAAATATAACACAAGTACAAATTTAAAGCCTAAGAATAACTTTAGGTGCCAAATAGTATATTTACCCTATTCAATTGGAACTAAAGATCTAATTGAAATTCTTATCATATACTACTATTACATAGGTGAGAAAAAAAGAAAAAAAATGGGTAAATATACCAAAGGTTATTAAATTATGTTCAAATAGTTGTTTTGATAATTAAACTTTCAAAAGTTATAAAATGATCATTAAATTTGTCGAACTATTATAAGATGATTATTGAGACGTCATAATTAACATAAAAGTTTAATGGATTTAATAACCATTTTGTAACAGTTTGTTTGATAAATTTAATAATTATTTTATAAACTTTAAAAATCCAGTAAACAAAACGATCATTAGAGTATAATTCTATGACCATTGATGTACTTGACCCAAAGAAAAAGAAAGGAAAAAGATAATCACTTACATGATTGTAGCTCATATCAGTGGCAATGTACGTGGGAGAGTAACTGAAACAAGTGAGCAGAGACAATTATAAGATACGACGATGTCTACATTTTATACCATACAACTTCAATAAAAATCGAAAGAAATAAAATACCTATAGAAAGGAACGGCTTGATGATGATGAAAGTGTGACGCCGGTGTCCCCACTGCTGGGTAATACCACTGCAAGTGATTAGCAGGTGCAGCTGACGTGGCCCTCGGTCCAACGTTTGATCCTTCAATTTAATTCGATCAAAACCCATATATTAGACCCCCATGATGCTTATATTCACAAAAATGCCATTACACCATTTTTTCTCTCTTCAAAATAAAAAAATACGTAAATACCTTGTTGTGGTGGATGAGCAGCGGAGCCCGAGGTGGACCTCGGGCGGCGAGCACAAAGAGAGGCGAGGTTGCAGTTGGCGCGGCGGCCGTTGATGATAGGGTTCGGATCCTCACAAGCTTGCTTAGCTGCTTCAGCATCCTTAAATGTAACCTAAAAATTTCCCCCAAAAAAACTTTAAGAAAATCCAGAAACGAATCAGCTGACACCGGAAGCATTTGATTAAAAAAGGAACTTACGAATCCATAACCCTTGGATCTGCCGGTGAGTTTATCGGAAATAATGACGGCTTCAAGGATCTCACCGTACTTCTCGAAGTGCTCTTTCATGGCATCTCCGGGAGTCTCCCAAGCTAAGCCGCCAACGAAAACTTTGGTTAAAGTTGTGTCACCTAATTGCCCAATACTGTTACTCATAGTCATGGCGTTTAGCAACGACGAGAAAAGAAAGCAGAATAAGAAAACCGATGATGATTTCCTTTCCCAAAATAATAAAGACTTAATTGAGGAAATTGAGAAAAATAAGGTGTTTGGATAGAGAGACCCAAGAAGGAAATGAGGAGGGAAAGGGAAAATTTAAGGAAGAGGAAGAGATGAAGAAAAACAAAAGGAGACAGATAGGCAAGACAGAGAGACTCTGTGCTTATGACTACATAACTACATTATCAACGTGATCACACATCTTATTTACTATTCCGGTTGATTTTATGTTGAATATAATGATAAGATACGTTACTTATATTATATTTTCGAGGAAAAAAATCAAGTTCAAAATTTGAAAATGATATAAACTCCTAACACTGATGGTAAAATGAATATGGAGAATTTCAAAAGAAAATACATATTTTAATCTTAAGATGACGTTGTTAAGAGTAAGAATCATAAACTCTAAACATAAAGGATAAAATATATATAAAAAAAATATCTCGAACTTCACATTAGTTGTATATCAAGAGTTAATACGCGTTTAAATATATTTGAATTTACGTCCTTCTGAATGTTATAATAGTAATCTTGTGGATCGAAATTAAATTCAAAAGAGGAAAGAAAACCATAGGAGAGGCGCGTGAGACATGATGAGGGTGGCGCGTAGTAGAAGAAAGAGGGAGAGACAGCTAAAAGCCGGCGAAGAAAACGAAAAGAGACCCACAAAGATAACTGAATTTTGAGTTACGCAACGTGAAGTCCCAAGGAGATGTCGTTTTGGACGATGGATTTAGATGCTCTCAGCACGCTGTTTTATCAAATTTGCATGCACGTCTACACATAAATTAACCATTTGCAGGCCATTTATATACTTTAAAATATCTCATTTTTTTTATCTCGTTAGTAGGTGAACTTTAATTTGAATATGGTTTTTATCATTGAACTTTAAAATGTTTTAATTTTAGCATTAAACTTTTGATATTATTTTATTTATTATTAGGTCATTTAATTGTTGACACTGTGATAATGTGATCGTTTCTTTTTCGTTTTTCTACAAAAAAAATATCCACTCCTCTTACTGTCGGGTCAATTATTGCATGTCACCAGGAGCAAAATTATGAATTTATTAAAGGGTAAAAATATTTTTTTTATTTCTCAGAAATATAATTTGTTCAATTAAGGGGCCGATAAAAATTATTTTATTTATTTCTTTGAAATATATATTTTTTAGTATTAATTAAACATTAAAAAAACAAATTGACATGGACCAAGGCACCTGTTCTTTCTATGCCTGACACTAGTTGTCATTCACGATAAGATTGATATCTAAACGTTTGTATTTCATCGTTTATGCTTTTTTCTTCTTGAAATGGTTTTTCACGGCTCTTGCTCATATTCGATAAAATCCATGTAAAGTTTTGAAATTCTAATGATCTGGTCTTTTCCTAAGATCACTTAGTGGTGTCAAATTTTAAGTTTTGTTGTTTGTCTTCTCAAAAGAGGGTTTCTCAATTCTTACCATATGAACTTTTGAACAAACACCTCAAATAAAAAATTCAAAATATTTATTTAAAAAAATAATGAATTTTGAAGAGAATTTCAGAAAAATTAAATTAATAAAATGATAGAACAATATAATGTAATAATCGTTCATCAGTATTTGGGGTGATCTTAAAAGACATCAGACTATGATGATTTCTAAAAATGATTAAAAAATGATTTAATAAATCATAATTTTGATAAAAAATGATGAAATAGAATAAAATTTATTTGTCTCACTTCCACATCAACACACATTAACATCAAATTGTCACAACATCCAACTATTAATACTTTAACGACCCAATAATAATAATAATAATAATAATAATAATAAAGATATGGGTTTGAATGCTCATTATCCTTCAATTAATGGATTTGATTTATATAATTACTTTTAAAGATAATTTGATAATTATAAGATTTTAATCCTAACTACTGACCAAAAAATCATAAATTGACCAGGTTTTGATTCCTCCTTAATCAGGGACAGAAATAAAATTTTATGTTATGTTAGGAGACAAACTCATAAAATTTTAGGGGTGAAAACATATTTTCAATAAAAAAATATAAAGACAATATCTAAAATATAAAGAAATTTGAAATTTTCTATTAAAATTTTTCTTTTTAAAAACATATTTGAAGATGTGATGGTTTTGGTTTCTTTTAAAAATTTTGAGTCGGTTCGAGTTGAAACTTAGACCAAATCCACACTGTTATACATACTCATTGTATTCTTTTTAAGGCTCAATCAAAAAATAAGTGCTCAAATTAATATTTTGTTTACTGTAGGTGCTTAAAGTTTTTTTCTCATCAAAGTATGTGTCTATCTTTTTCAAAATTATCATTTTAAGGTCAATTATGTCACAAGTGTTAAAAAAATATGTTAACGATCAATCAATTAACTACTGTTTGACACGTGACATAATTTTTAATTTATTATCATTTTTTATTTTTTAAAATCTTAACTTTATCTATTTTTTTTTCCACAAAACAACCTAAAAATTCACAAAAACCTCAAATACCCCTAAAATTCTTCATCTCAAATCCATTGCCGTCGACAACCATCCTCACTATCATTGAACGTTCATCCACACACCGACGGACTTCCACGATCATTATTTACACATACATAATATATACATAGAAAGTTTACATGACACCATTCATACATACATAGAAAGTTTCAAATCCAATGATAAATGGATACACAAGAAACGTGGCCAACTGTCTTGCAGCAAGCAAATGCCATTGTATTCCTCTGTCTGTTTATAAATATAATAAGAGTAAAGTACATCTAAGGTCAATAAACTACATTCGAATAATCATTTTAGTCATTAACTTTTTAAAAATTATAAAATATCATTAAATTTATTAAATTATTACAAAATTATCATTGTAACGTTATAATAAGCATAAAAGTTCGATAATTCAATGAACATTTTATAACATTTTAATAAATTTATTAACCATTTTATAATAATTTGATAGGTTTAATAGTCATCTTCTAACTTAAGAAAATTTAGTAACTAAAACGATCATTTAAACATAATTAAGTAGTCTCTGGTATACTCTAATTATATAATAATGAATGTTGGTGTATAAAATAATAAGTAGTTTAATGGGAATATGATGGGGTGGCCAACCACCAAGTGTCGTGGGAAGAAATTAATAAATATATGAGGAATGAGGGGTCACACAGGGGTTGATGGTGGTCTGAGTTGGCAAAGGGAAAGACACTGTATTGTAGGACATAGTGCCCTAAAACAATGTTCCATCGTCCTTCTTGCCTCTAACTACCCCTCCTTTGGGACGTCCATTTCTTTTTGCAGTTTTACCCCTTCAATTTTTTATTTAAAAAGTAATCTTTAATTTATTGTCATAATTCTCTTCCTTCGAAAAAGAGTAATTTCATTCGAGTTCCATCGTCCTTAATCGGATATCTGAACCTGAAAGTTTATATGTTAATCTTGAGAACGAGGTTCCAATTGAAACTAAAATCACTTTTAAATCATTAGTTCTCCACGACACGGTAAATATATTTCATTTCTTGTGATGTAGACTTTACTAGTCATTGCTAATGTAATGCTTTACAGTAGTATTAGTTCCAACAATAATAATATCAATCGAACTAAAATTCAATCATCAATTACATAAGATTAAGGGGAGAAGGAGAGTGGGCAGCAGCCAAAGGGGAATCAAAGAGAGCAGAGAGAGAAGATTGAGAGACAGTTCAGCCAGAAAACCAAGTTGGGGAAGGGGCCAAGCAAGACATGATAAGGTGTGGCCGGATTCGATGAGATTGTTCATGCTATAGGTTGCTAATGACAAGGTTTCGACTGCAAGGGTTGAGACACGGCAGTCCTGCCTAGATTGTTCGGTGGTCAGTAGCGTTTATGATGTAATTATAACGTTAAATCAAGAATTCCGGATCGAGATCGGTACGATTACATGATTGCGAACATGTAATGGAAGAAACAGCACCATCTTGATGTGTGCACATTTGAGGGATGTGGAGGCTCCACTTTATGTTGCAGCCCCATAGTTGGTGGTCGGGATCGTCAGCACCACAGCTGCTGAATATCCCATGTATCAATCCAAAGAGTCGGAATGATAACACCACATACACAATATAATACGAATGTTTCGAAATCTATTGAAATATAACAATCGCACAAAAAACGATACGAAATGGATGCAATATGGACAGTAGAAGGATATATCATCTATTTCAATATCACCTTGGAACAAGCTAACCTAAATAGTCCCCAAGGTGGTGTAGCTTTGCATAATCAAGATTAGTCCAAAATGAAGATCCTAAAAGAGTTTTGAGTTTAAACAATGTAACCAGCCCTAATACACTTGTGAAAGTGGTAGAGGGAGCTTGGATCAGCTACTGGTTGCCTTGCATCGAGGGAACGATCATATGATGTCCTTGTGCCTGCAACGTTTAAGAAATTCGAATCATTGTAATAAAAGTTTCGGTGATCCATCCGACAATCCTGTAATGTTATTAATTACTGCAACCAGCGTGGGTATATGATGGTGGAGAGTATAGCTAGCCTGCTTCTATACCTAACGCATCGACATAAAAACATGCAGGTGAAATATATGCCATTTGACATATTTGAATGACCATAAACTCTAAATACAACATATGATATCGATACAGCCCCTCTTGTGAAATATTTTTTTCCACCGCCAGATAATAATCCTTGCAACATATGATTGATTCGGGTGTTTTCAAGCATATGGGTTGGTTCGGCTAGACCTTTGCTAAAAACGACTCCGGGTGAACTTTTTTGTCCCGAATCACAAGTTGAGAGACAAGTAAAAGTGAAGATAATCTATCATATGCATAGAGGTGGTTCTCCAATCAATCAATATCTCCGTGAAAATTATAATATAATCCAATCATTCATCCTCGAATATTGAAGAATCCTGACCTCATTGGTGAAAAATGTTACCCAGAAAGCATAGTATGATAGGCAAAGTGACATACCGTGATGTGCAAAGC